TTTAGATGCCAAACAGTATTTCGCTTTGGGTAATTATGACATGAAGGGAATCGAGGACAACATAGAGGAATGCCCCAACAACATCAAGCGAAATTTGCAGATAAAATCCTTGTCTAGTGCGCAATTTCCAACAGGGGCTTATTCCAACCTTTTGTGAGTAGAGTGAGTGATGAAGCTTTGGATAGTCAGAGCTATATTGTTAACTGCCTTTCCAAATTGCTTCAGCAGCAGTGATTAGGCCGTGGAAGTCTTGTATTAACTTGACTGCTATTTCTGCTGTATCGTTAACTGCTTGCGGCTTATTTTTAGCGTATTCGAAAGAATCATCATGTGACAACCAACAAACTAGCAGAACATTCCGATCGATGTTTCAGTACACTTGCTGTCTTTCATATTTCACTAAACGCAATTTCTGAATTCTATTCCGAGTAATGCGAGCCATAATCTGCATACCATGTCGATATTCGTTCATTTTCCCAAGTGGCAGCCACCGAATTCCCCTTAGAGATGAGTTATCGATATATGCACTTACAGGATTCATGCTGTTAGTCTAATGCATTTTACAGGGAAACGGGACGTCATAGATCTCATTTAAAAACCGCTTCGATCGGAAATTATTTCCTGTTAGGGAAAAATTACATTTACGTCGCGGAAATGATGCTATTTTTGGCTTGATAAATTATTACTGTGCGCCTAAATTTCAACACATGTTTATTGCGGTAGTAGTTTTATTAATAGTTGAATAATGACGAAGAGAATAAAAGACCTGTATACAAAATATTCGAGAATTCGAGAACATTGTAAATAAACACGACGACGTACGCGAACAATAACTAACCACTGTTACCGTTTGCGTTCGATTGCCGGTTCGATAAGAGTGATGAAAATCGACGCGCTGTTGTCATGTGCGTTTTAAATATTCAATTTAACGAAACTTACTTACTGACTACAAATGTTGGCTTAACTTAATGCCATTTATTTGTTAATTACCCAACTTAAAAACGTAGTTGTAAACTATAAAGCCATTTAGACAAGAATCTATTGACTTTTGGACCATGGCGCAATAACAATGAGGAGAGACTTGAATGGATTATGGAATGGAACTCAGTGCAAGTGCAAGACTAGGGAGGAGACGTGCTGGTAGAAGCATTGCAAGATCGACATTTTCAGCAGCACATGTCGCCCGTACTAGCATCCTGCTTCAATGGCCTCCTCGACCTCCAGACCCTTCCCCCATCGAACATGTAAAGGATATGATAGGTGTAAACAATACACCGCACCCTCCACAAACATTGGAGTCTCTATGAAACCAAATTCAGATTAAACTGTTACTGTTTGTCAATAGAAAAAGTAGTTCTCCAACATTAAAAGTAACAAGGCAAGACAAGAAAGCAGAACGAGAGAATACGAAAACAGCCGGTAGTGGAAACTGCATATAGGTATCGCAGCGACCATCTGCAGTTAGCCAAATCCGGGCTTAACTTTGGGAAATTAATTTTCTAAGAGCAATATCCAATGTGTATGTACGGTGATATAGTTTGGCAACATAAGCTATTAACTGAAATGATGACTGTGTGGTACATGCAAGTGATCTTTCCAATTAATTCTGGGAAACCGTTCGAGAATATCGAGAGCCGATACCGCACTATATGGTCACGTAACACTATCTCCCCACAATATACAGTTAGAGAGGTCGCCATGATTTTCGACCATACCTCGCATCGGAAAGACGCACAAAGCGCTATCTATTAATAGGACCTGAAGCTCTCACAACTTAAGACTAAGGACCGTATCGTCAGTCGTTCCTGCAATTGATTTATATAGTTTTCTACTGTTCCGTATCAGCGCTCTATTCTGAGGTTATGTTACAAATATCTATTTGCGTCAAATTGTTCATCCTTTTTATCAGCCTGAAATGTCTTACAACTTAAGAAGAAAACATAGCCACAATAGGAGAGATCTGATGCTGACAAGGAACAGTAGACATCCGGAAATACCCCAGCCTTTCTGGAGGCCGTGAAGGCGGATCAGGTTAAAAATAAAAAACGTCCCTTATGTAAAAACAATTTTGGACCTATGATAGTGGAACTTTATTTTCACAACCTCCACACTAACAAGTGATCGTATTGGCCACTTCCAGTTGTGAAAAGTAAGACAAAGACTATGCGATTGCGCGTTTTTCGATGCATGCCTTGAGTATATTGTCGAAAAAGGGTGCAACCTCTCTAACTAACAGCTCTGCTTCTATATACATACCGAGTTTCCCGAAACTTCGATGAATTATGGAAATTGACTTTGCGTCAAGCGACTCTCAGTTATGTGAGTGTGTGTCGGTTGCCTCATCGATATATTGAATACTACGGCGCTCATGATGGGATGCTAATAGTTTTAGTTGCATCAACTTGGAAACTTGCTTATTATTGAAGGTATGATGCAGATGACATGATGGCATCGTCAAATTCTCTATACAGTATTCGGTTGATTGTTTCAAAGGGGCGGTTCCCAGCAAAATCGGCTACAATCGGCGACAAGACAGCTACAACGCTGGAGAAGTACCTATCATCAATGCCTTCCTACGCTAAAAAGGTTAACATTCCATGAAAATGTACTTAAAGAAGCATGAAACAAACAATTAAATGTAAAGTAGGTACGAAATAGGGTGCTACTCCATGAACCGGTGATTGGGGTCCAACATCCCAAAAATTATAAACCAAATAAGGGCTCCATCTTAACCAATGCTTCAGCATGATACATCAGATTATGATGATAACGGTCCTATAAATGAACTGTGGGACTCCACAGGGTTCAGTTTAAGGGCCACTATTATTTTTAATATACATTAACGATCTGCCAAACTGTAATCAATCGAACAATTTGATTTTATTTGCACAATGCTTAACAGACATTCCTCTACTGACTCGTTACTAGCTGAGAATGTATAAATAAAATCTTCTAAATCAAATTGACGCTTAATGATTCCAAGACCCAGTCAATTTCCATCAGCTTACGTAACCAGATGTTATCCATAATTTGTAAAACGAAGTATTAGATAGCGATCATCTCTCAAGCATTGTATTGAACCATATAAATCAACATTTATTAACAAAAAAAAATAATGCTACATTACTTGTATACAACATAAATCATATCTCATGCATGCAAATACGAGTTGCTCAGTAATATTTTATCGTCTCCTATTACTTTTGTGTTTTCCTCATTTATTATGATTATATACGTACTTTTGCTTATATCGCAGTTTGTTCTACAACCCTGCTGTACGTAGTAACTGTGTAGGTAGCACGAATGTGCAGCGTGCGGAGTGATCAAATACGCGTCAGAGTACACTCGATGTCACCGCGTTGCGATGGAATCGATCGTATTTATGCACACTTGCACACTCATGTTTCCACTCGGTATGGTTGGAACTGAAATCGGAGCTGATATATAGTCGCAATCTATATCTGGAAGTGAAACATGGGATGCTTTATTTCACGGGCACTACCCACAAAAGTTTAAGGCCAATATCTAACTACATATAACTGTTTTATGTTAAGAATGGTATCTGATTTTTCTATTGGAACAAAATATTTCGCTGTTCTTCGCGATTGCAGTCTAAAATGACGGAATACCTGTGAAGGACTGGTAGTAACAAATCGCTTTCAAGCTTACCATGTAGAATAAAATAAAATTGAATAGAATAAAATAGAGAAGAAAATATAGAGATAGAATAGAATGGAATAGAAAGGAATGTAATGGAGTGGAGTGGACTAGAATGGAATAGAATGGAATAGAATGGAATAGAATGGAATAGAATGAATAGAATGGAATAGAATGGAATAGAATGGAATAGAATGGAATAAATGGAATAGAATGGAATAGAATGGAATAGAATGGAATAGAATGGAATAGAATGGAATAGAATGGAATAGAATGGAACAGAATGGAATAGAATGGAATAGAATGGAATAGAATGGGATAGAATGGAATAGAATGGGACAGAATGGAATAGAATGGAATAGAATGGAATGTAATGGAGTGGAATGGAATAGAATGAAATAGAATAGATTAAAATAGAATAGAATAGAATAGAATGGAAATGAATGGAATAGAATGGAATAGAATGGAATAGAATGGAATGGAGTGGAACGGAATAGAATAGAACGGAACAGAACAGAATAGAATAGAATAAAGACCAATAGGAGTTTGTACCTTATTCGAAGATCCTTTAAGGGATGTGACAGTTCTACTGCTGGGCTCCTGTACACGTCTTGTGTTAGGCCTATGAAATTCGCTTGACCTGTTTGGTATCTAACGTTAGAACGTGACCGATACATGTTGGAAAATATTGAGACGAGGGCTACACGTATCCCGTACGGTAGCCAACGACCTTGTCATGAGGAGAGGCTGAACCTCTTCAACCTAACTCACTTCTCCGATAGACGCTAACGAAGGGACTTGATAATTACGTACCGACCTGTACATTGTTTTTTCAGCACTAACATATCCTCACGTTACCATTACCATACTATTTCTTGATATGATATCAAGATATAGATGACACACCACTAAGCAATAAGACATTTTTGAAAATAATAAACATTCGCATAATTGATTTCTCGCAGATTTATGCAAATGAAACTCTGAGAACAGCGTAGCACTCCTTTTTGTTTTACTTGAGTATTCAACATATTTGTCTCAAAAGGATGCAAACGAAGATTACGACTACTTCTAGCTTTTCAATTTGGGCAAGATCTTGATTAATGTCATTATTCACTGTTTCTTAGTCATTACTTCTAAATGAATATGCAATCCAAGTATCGTCTGCAAAAGAATGTATGCTGTATGATTTCACGTCTGTTTCTCAATCTGAGATACATAATGAAAACAATAGAGGTCCTGAGACATATCCCTGTGGTACACCAGAACAAATTTTGTATACGGTAGAGTACTGTTGATTTAGACGAATTTTTCAAAACCGATTTTCAAGTTAAATAAAGCTGTTTCTTGTTTCAGGAGGAGTATTATGCAACATCGACCGTCTGGAGTTGGTGATGCCTCGATACGCTATCCGTGGTGGTGACGTCGCGCTGGTCTGTGACCACAGCGTGCCCCCAGAGCAGCTGTACAAGGTCGAATGGAGGAAAGGGGACACGAAGATTTTCCAGTATATCAAAGGCAGGAAACCGCCGTTCATTTACCACCCGATGAGTGGGGCTGAACTCAATGTAAGTTAACAGACAAAAGCACTATCAATTATATGAATACTTTCAAATGATAAAACTCTCCAACACTGGCAGAGCCAGCTGAACTATCTTAAGAAATGTTTGGTAATGGAACGTTATTTATCAATATAAATCGTACAACATTTTAATCTTTTCAGAAAACGAATAGCAACGAACGACAAGTCCAACTATCCCACTTGGACTTTTCTGCTTCCGGTTCCTATTCTTGCACGGTTTCCATGGAAACGCCCATCTTCTCCAAAGACTCGGACAGCAAGGACCTCACAGTTATCGGTAAGTCATAGTATTGCTCAAATCAAATTACTAGTTAGCAATGCATTCCTCAAATTTACGCACTTCCTATGACTGAGTTTGTCTGGTATCCGGGCAACCAGACCTGAGGCACCTACTGACTAACAAGACTTTAACCAAGAGCAAAGTAAGTAAGAGTAAAGACTGTCCGCATATTCTGAAACACCCTGTACACCAAACCGACTTGAGTTAATCAGAGTGTAAGCGTTATTAAATTCAAACGGTTTCTTGGGCGCGCACACACAACGTTGGAGGTGAAATGGCGCATGATTAAACCCCTGTTTGTGGGGCTGGAGGTGTTTGTGTGTAACTTGTACACGTCGCTTAAACATTTCCTTCAACATTAAACCTAGAACGTTTATGTTTGAATTTCAAATTCCAGTTCGAGGCGGGAATGGTACGCGTTGGAGATAGCTGCTGTTTATTTGCAATGGGCTTCGCAAAATGCTCTGATAAATGTCTGGATAGGAGTAACATACGGAGTCTGAGAATAAGGTGTTTTTTTTTTGTTTTTTCAAACATAATTACAATTTTATATTGTCTCCTTAAAAATAGCTTCATTCTGTTAAATTTAGTTGCCTCTACCTTAAGTGGTGTCCAAACTCTCGCCGATAAGTTACATGAACATCTGAGAAGAGTGAATGTGAAATAAGACCACAGATGCAGAAGTGAGAGGTTACTAACTTTTCGACTACATTTGTAGGCTTTTTCACATCACAATTCAAATTCTAAATATACTATACTTCAAGAGTGTAGGTTGGCTCTTGTTGGTGAATTCGTATGTTGTGCTGTTCCTCTCCATCTTCGTTTCATCAGGTTGCATCCATACTCTTATGAATGAGCATGAGTGTCTACTCTTATAGTCGCATATGTGCATTCATGAGATCATGTGGAGGTGTATATATTTGTTATATGTATACAAACTTAGGAAATAGCAACCATAAACAATTCTAAATTTGTTTTTAGCTCCTGATGATGACGGTATTGACCATCGAAAGCTTGAGTTTCAAAGTTAAAAGAGTCCATTTTGCAAAAATTATCGTCGAGAACCCAAAGCTACGACGAATAACTATCTCCACTATACATACGTATACTTTTTGCTCGATTCTCATGGAGTTCCAGGACTATAACAACGTCTGTCTCCCGGATCCGAAATTAGGCATTGTCACATAAGGTCAACGGGGACTTCGGCTATAAAAATAATTTGAGCAACCCATTGGAGTAAATTAGCAAAGTCCGGAGGATGTCCCGAAGATACCGAACAACAATTATCGTCCATTATTCTGGTAGAAGGGTCCCGAGGTCAGATTTCAGCAGGATAAGGCCGGAGTTTGTGTACAGATAAACATGTCTGGGTCTTAAGCCGGTCGGATATAATTTCATTGAAGATACGCCTATTAACAACTTGATCACTGTTTAGAATTAATTTTGCAAGCATCAAAATATCAGTTCAGGTTTCTAATGATGCTGCATGATATACAGGGTACGATGGAGAAATATGCTGATGAGTCACTCTCTAGACAGCTGTTCACCGCTGTATCTAAGTACTTTGAGGATTCTGTTCATATTTAAATCCACATAGCAAATTTTAGCTCATTCCAGTTGACGGTTTCGAAGATATTGAAAAGAATTTTTTCTAATTTTTAAACTTCAACACCTCTCATCTTTTTAATGAAAAATTGTTACATAGAAAACCTCCCTTAAAATGCGATCTTGTGTACGATGTTTCATTTTTGGTCACGACTTCTGAATGAGTATATAGCTTCTTTAACAACAGAGCTCTACAACTTGATACGTGTTTCGATAGAATCTTAAAGAAGAAATTACAACCATGACGCTGTTAAACGCTTCGAGATTTTTTTGATAATTATTTTGGGAAACTGACATTAGCATATACATTATTTTTTAAAAACTGATATTTCGAATGTCCGATTTAAAATGTGTGTAAACTTCTTTAAACATACGTTTGAATTATTTTCAGAACCACAAGACGATAATCCAACGATCGTATTCGACAAGGACACATACGAAATCGGTGACATCCTCCAAGCGAACTGCACCACTGCTCCATCTAAGCCTCCTCCACACATCACATGGCTCATCAATAACGAAAAGGTAAGTCTCTCTCAGTCATTAATAATTAATTAATAATAACAATAAGAAACAATAATAATTTGTTCAAATTCAATAGGATAAGCAAACGTTGATGTATAAGGTGTGACGTTGTTTGAGGTGCTGTCATTGCAACTGATTATTAAAGCTAAGCTGGTATTTGCACGCATGCAAAAAGTAGCACTCGAACCATCGCTAATCAGAGGTTTGAAGAGCATGGACAGTTTGGCCTTTTTTCTTATCGCCCACGTTGGGTGCTGCCTCTCACAGCTGGACATCGGCCGTTCGGTAATAGATAGCACTTTGTGGTCTGTGTTACCTTATTGCAATAATCAAGGTACATTTGCAACGACGCATTTTCGATATGAGTTTCTCTGATGATGGAAGGTATACCCGGAGCGTAAACGTTATAAGAATCCCCAAATGTAATATTACGCATATGTGCCACCTAAGCCCTTTCACGTTTATAGTCGAACATAAAGATTCGGAAGTATGACGGGTGATTTTTTTTCTTTCGCAACACTCACGGTCGGCAAGGGATCCTTCGTAAGGAAGGAGCGTGAGAGCGGCAAAAAAATAAATCAAGGCTTAAAGGACTTTTTCTCATAATACGATGTTCTGCTGAGGAAACGCTGATGAGTCTTTCTAGGTTTAGCTATGCACATACGGCAAAACTAGAATGAAGAAGGTAATCGTGCTGGAAAGATATATTTAGTAAAGATAGAGAATCCTTAAACTGGAATAATCAGAAATAAACAATATGAGAGTCTTCAAAATGCTACCGAGGCTTCACGAATGCATACAGATCGTTTTCATAAAATGATTACTGTGAACATGGTTGACGAATTACATGCGCGAGTTTAGGAATCTGCTGCAGTCATTCGGGAAAGGCAGTCGATTCCAAAAGCCTACACTGATGTGTATTTAAACATTTATAGGTAAACTGAGTTGGTCGAAAGCCTATTCAATCTACTTGGTCCCCGACCCAACTACCTTCGTAAACCTTAATGTTTTTTCATTCTAGCGGCAACAGAAATTGTTAGGAGAATTGTTATTATACAAATCCTATTACGAAGAAAGCGCAGAAAGTTTAATGAGAAGCCGGGCAACTGTTTGCATTCAGTCTGTTCAAGAACATGGAGTTTTCTGCAGATTGTTCAAATAAAATGGAAAAAACTACCACATAGAGTGTATGGATGAACATAAAAACTTCTGCGAGTGTTTTGTCTTACGTTGCGGCGGCTATTTAGGATTGCTATAGAAAAACTTTACGGTTAGCGTTTTATGCAGTTGAAGATATGCAAGAAAGGTAATACTCGTATAATGTACATACAAAAAGGAGACGCATTAGTAACAATAAATTAATTTTCACTATCCCAAGATTGTCACAAAGTAACTGACAGCTAATTAAATTATTTCTTTCTCTTAGCAACAAATAACTAAACAGGTATAACAATAAATACAGATCGCCAAGGATATCCGTGTTTGTGAAAGGAATGCGGAAAAAAAACGGGTTGTTATTTGGTTGTTGCCACGTTTACTCTTCCGAATTGCTTTTTATGTTGGTAGATATCTCGTTATTAATTATAAAAGAATCGTAGATTTGGCAAACCTTGACAGGCAACATTTTTAACAGTTGTTGAAATAAAAAGTGATAATTCCGTGTGGATTTGTTTTCTCTCTGAACGAATTGGGATAAATGAAGATTTTTCTAATTTTCTCGAAAACGAATCGGCTGATTTTAAAAAATCTAACCTCAAAATAAAGGACTTTGAGATACCTTTTAAGCAACAGGTATTTCATCGGGAAATCAATTGGCAAGCTGCTTAGTTTTCAATTTGTTAGGCAGCTCCCATCTAGCGGTTTTTCGCGAATACTTCTATGCGGTAGGCATCTACATACGTTTGTTGATTTTGTGTAGGCTGTGGTTAGTGGTGTAGGGTGTCGCGGTCGTGGTCGTGGTCGCGGTCGTGGTCGCGGTCGTGGTCGCGGTCGTGGTCGCGGTCGTGGTCGTGGTCGCGGTCGTGGTCGCGATCGTGGTCGTGGTCGCGGTCGTGGTCGCGATCGTGGTCGTAGTCGCGGTCGTGGTCTACAGTAGTAGATGGTCGAACAATCACTCATGATAAATGACCTCATAATAAAATTTAAATTTAAGTTATTAACAGGTTTTTTTACGTTACAAGAATGGCCAAAAATGGGTCAGTCGAGAACGTGAGCCCCACCATCCTCGTAATACTTCTTTTGGGGCCCCTCTAGTCCATAAATGCCGCAGATTATCCCGCTGGTAATACCATAACTAAGTAGAAAAGCACTAAATTTACCTCGAGCTTAAGGCTTGTCGAACAACAGCTTTGCTGGCGAGCTTTAGCTCTAGTCAAACCGCTGCCCGTCTATATTCGAGATTGGGGTCGGGTCAAACTTCCGATGATTATCTGTACAATGTTCCGCGGCAGTCTAATACAGGTTCGATACCCAATTAGCAGGGAGTTTCCCGGAGAAACCTCGGCACCGCGAAAATACGAATTTGCTCCTCAGATATATACCGGGGGCGTACGCGATAAACTTTGATTGATTAAGCTGTCTATAGTAGCTGTGGGTTAATGCCAAGATTGAGATGTTGAAGCCTGGAATAGGTTGTTTGAAAGCTTCCTATTATTAAGGTTTCTTCTTAGATGTATACCGGGGGCGTACGGAATAAATTTTGATTGATTAAGCTGACTATGGTAACTGTGAGGTGATGTCAAGATTGAGGTATTGAAGGCTGGAATAGGTTGTTTGAAAGCTTACTATTATTAAGGTTGCTTCTCAGATGTATACCGGGGGCGTACGGAATAAACTTTGATGATTAAGCTGTCTATAGTGGGTGTGAGTTGATGCAAATATTGAGATGTTGAAGCCTGGAATAGGTTGTTTGTAAGCTTCTTATTATTGAGGTTGCTTCTCAGATGTATACCGGGGGCGTACAGAATAAACTTTGATTGATTAAGCTGACTATGGTAACTGTGAGGTAATGTCAAGATTGAGATGTTGAAGGCTGGAATAGGTTGTTTGTAAGCTTGCTATTATTAAGGCTGCTTCTCAGATGTATACCGGGGGCGTACGGAATAAACTTTGATTGATTAAGCTGACTATGGTAACTGTGAGGTAATGTCAAGATTGAGATGTTGAAGGCTGGAATAGGTTGTTTGAAAGCTTCCTATTATTAAGGTTGCTTCTCAGATGTATACCGGGGGCGTACGGATTAAACTTTGATGATTAAACTGTCTATAGTGGGTGTGAGTTGATGCAAATATTGAGATGTTGAAGCCTGGAATAGGTTGTTTGTAAGCTTCTTATTATTGAGGTTGCTTCTCAGATGTATACCGGAGGCGTACGGAATAAACTTTGATTGATTTAGCTGACTATGGTAACTGTGAGGTAATGTCAAGATTGAGATGTTGAAGGCTGGAATAGGTTGTTTGTAAGCTTCCTATTATTAAGGTTGCTTCTCAGATGTATACTGGGGGCATACGGAATAAACTTTGATGATTAAGCTGTCTATAGTAGGTGTGAGTTGATGCAAATATTGAGATGTTGAAGCCGGGAATAGGTTGTTTGTAAGCTTCTTATTATTGAGGTTGCTTCTCAGAGGTATACCGGGGGCGTACGGAATAAACTTTGATTGATTAAGCTGTCCACGTGCTATATTTCCGTCTCTGTCTTTTGTCGATGTGGTGGCTAATATTGTGCCTTGTTCCTCTATCCTACAGTATTGTCATCCACTGACTATTGATAATCTAACAAACAAGTAATACTTGAGAATCATCTTATCGTTTCCTAACTTAACAGTGACCACGAGAAACATCTAGGTAAATCATCAGTGATATTCAAAATTGTATGTTGTTAACCTTATTGTACCAGTCTCACAACTAAACTATGTTAATAATTATTTTAGTACGAGTGCGAAACAACTGCCTGAAATCATTCTGAAACGCCGTGTATAATTTGTAGCGAAGAAATTAAAGAAAGGATGAGGCTTATATTTATTCAAAATATTTTTCTTTGCATTTGATTCATGTACATATTTGAACTTGAAATGAGTGACTTAGATTACGTCATGGACGTTATTAATTACGGAGCTCAGCAAGAAAAAACAAAAGTACGGACAAACAACCGTCGGTTCTCGGAGGGAAAACTAGAGAACAAAAAGACAACAGAGTCTGGAATTGGCTTTTTGTTTGCTTGTTGTTCACAGCTACCCAATATTTTTAATTAAAATTAAGTGCTGCTAAGTTTACGCTGCTACTTACAATACCACCTAACCAACTTTTTTTTCCTATTCTCGTCATTGACGTAGATTACACAGACTGTGACTGTACAAAGCCTTGAGATTCACAAAAAAGTCTTAAGAAGCATAATGTTCCGGACAAAAAATGTGTTTTTCCACGGCCGCCTTTCATTGTAGCGGGAGCATTATAAGTAAAGGGAAACTGCTCATCTTTAACTAGTTCCATTCTTGCTGAAATTATTATAGATCATATGCTAACAAATTGATGGAAAAAGAAAACCAATCGGCTCAGGTTTGAGCAGCTGACATTTATTATAAAGGGTTGTCCAATAGGGACGCAGGAAAGTAAACGTCAATTTGACATAGACGCCATCTTTGTTTTCTGTCACCGACATGTCATTTTGTTAGTCGAATGTTTACCATTGATCGCTATGGAGTCGTATTCGATTGAAGACCGCATTAAAGGTATTCAAGAGCACTACAAAAATGGTGCAAAACTAAAAAACACGTTTCGCGCGCTTCGTGAACATTTCGGTCGCAACAACCGCCCAAACGAAACAACCATCGGTCGTCTGGTGCGTAAATTCGAGGCAACAGGTTCTGTGGCAAATCTGCCAGGCTCTGGCCGGCCAAGGAGCGTTCGCACACCGGAAAATATTGCTGTTGTGAAGGAGAGTGTGAGAGATGATCCGAAACAATCAACAACGCGTCGATGGACCGGGGACGCCGTTACCGTCAATTCTGAGCGATATCACGTGATGATAGAGGACTATTTTTTGCCGCAACTTGAAGGAATGGATATGGACGATGTTTATTTCCAACAAGACGGTGCAACATGCCCCACAACCAATGTCAATATCCATCGATTGCAGTCCTTTTTCGGTGATCGCGTGATTTCGCGCAGAGGAAATGTGCCATGGCCACCAAGATCGTGCGATTTGACTCCCTTGGACTTCTTTTTATGGGGATATTTGAAATGCAAAGTCTACGTCAACAAACCAGCCACCCTCCAAGAACTCAAAAACAACATCATTGCCGAGATAAATGCCATAGAACCGACCATGTTGCAAAATGTCATTGAAAATTTCGACCATCGCGTGGACGTCTGTAAATCCAGTCGTGGTGAACATTTGAGCGATATTATTTTTCATACATAAATGGTATTAAATGAACCTTCAAAATAAAGTACCCAACTTGATTTGAATATCAATCTTTCTTGTTTTAATATGCGTTTACTTTCCTGCGTCCGTTTTGTCATTTTTATTTATAACTTCCAATAAAAGATCAAGACAAAAAATTAAATTTATTCCATTTTATTCTGAAGGAATATTGCTAAATGTTAATGTATCGTAGCTCATAATCAAATGTAAATTGAAGCCTTCAAAATATACATACGTGGTAATGTTACCTACCACAAGGCATATTTGCTGAAGAAGAAAAATGCTAATTCAAATTCCTTTATTACATGCGAACACTATACACAAGTATAGAGACGAACACGTCATCATCTAGTTTTATTAAAAACAGTACTATTTGAAAACAGAGCCTTACGCAATGTGTCTTTATTATATATATTTATTATTTGTCTTGGTTCCCAATACTAATTTCTTTTCCCCAGCACCAAGTAAACCTACAAACAACGAAACAGAAAACAAAGCAGTGTATGGCACTGTTTCCGGTAGAAAGTTTCCAGAACATTCCTTTCTTTGTAAAGTGCTGCAGGATAAGCGTCGTACACAATGCCAGATTATTCAGTTAGCCGCTTTAATCATTGAAACACGGAAAGGCTTCTTTGGAAGCAAATTACTCGACCGCACTTTATTTCTCAACCGGCTAAACTTGTTTGCCGTAAGCTCTTTCTTTTTCGCGCTGCTCCTGAAACTTATCCCGTGATTGTTTCTCGAATATATCCCGCTTTTGCTAGCCGCACTATTAGAACGCAACAACCCTATTGACGTTACGAGCTTAATCGATCATAATCGTCATAGTCTTACCGAAAACGCAGTCTTGGAAACGTGCGGATATGGGCAGCAGCAGATGTTAAATATTTGTTTGTTTCAGGTGCCCGACCACTTAACGAAATCGTTCAGCCCTAGCGGAGTGATTCACGGCCACGGTTATTTCGACACCCGTTCCTATTCCGTGAAACAATTGGCGATCGAAGTGTCAGAACTCCATGTCGGCGATGACGGCACGCTGACTCTCATGTGTCTCTCCACCATCCCTGGATACGTCAACAGCCAAGAAAGCTACGCGGACAGGAGGTCACAGTCAGTCCAAAGTGAGTAGTACCAATTTCTCTAGTCTTTTTTCGGTACATATCATCTTTCTTCCTCATTTTTTCTCTTCCTTCCTTTCCTTATAATTTTTCATCGTTTGTCTTTCTCTCTTTCTCTCTTTCTTTCTCTCTGTATCTCATCTCTCCTCTCCTTCTTTTCTTCCTTTCTTCCTATCTTCCTTTCGTCCTTCCTTCTTTTCTTCACTTCTTCATTTATTTATTCCTTCATTCCTTCATTCCTTCGTTCCTTCGTTTCTTCGTTTCTTCGTTTATTCGTTTATTCGTTTATTCGTTTATTCGTTTATTCGTTTATTCGTTTCTTCGTTTCTTCGTTCCTTCGTTCCTTCGTTTCTTCGTTTCTTAGTTTCTTCGTTTCTCAGTTTCTCAGTTTCTCAGTTTCTCAGTTTCTCAGTTTCTCAGTTTCTCAGTTTCTCAGTTTCTCAGTTTCTTAGATTCTCAGTTTCTCAGTTTCTCAGTTTCTCAGTTTCTCAGTTTCTCAGTTTCTCAGTTTCTCAGTTTCTCAGTTTCTCAGTTTCTCAGTTTCTCAGTTTCTCAGTTTCCTCAGTTTTCTCAGTTCTCAGTTTCTCAGTTTCTCAGTTTCTCAGTTTCTCAGTTTCTCAGTTTCTCAGTTCCAGTTCTCAGTTTCTCAGTTTCTCAGTTTCTCAGTTTCTCAGTTTCTCAGTTTCTCAGTTTCTCAGTTTCTCAGTTTCTCGTTTCTCAGTTCTCAGTTTCTCAGTTTCTCAGTTTCTCAGTTTCTCAGTTTCTCAGTTTCTCAGTTTCTCAGTTTCTCAGTTTCTCAGTTTCTCAGTTTCTCAGTTTCTCAGTTTCTCAGTTTCTCAGTTTCTCAGTTTCTCAGTTCTCAGTTTCTCAGTTCTCAGTTTCTCAGTTTCTCAGTTTCTCAGTTTCTCAGTTTCTCAGTTTCTCAGTTTCTCAGTTTCTCAGTTTCTCAGTTTCTCAGTTTCTCAGTTTCTCAGTTTCTCAGTTTCTCAGTTTCTCAGTTTCTCAGTTCTCAGTTTCTCAGTTTCTCAGTTCTCAGTTTCTCAGTTCTCAGTTTCTCAGTTTCTCAGTTTCTCAGTTTCTCAGTTTCTCAGTTTCTCAGTTTCTCAGTTTCTCAGTTTCTCAGTTTCTCAGTTTCTCAGTTTCTCAGTTCTCAGTTTCTCAGTTCTCAGTTTCTCAGTTTCTCAGTTTCTCAGTTCTCAGTTTCTCAGTTTCTCAGTTCTCAGTTCTCAGTTTCTCAGTTTCTCAGTTTCTCAGTTTCTCAGTTCTCAGTTTTCAGTTTCTCAGTTTCTCAGTTTCTCAGTTTCTCAGTTTCTCAGTTCTCAGTTTCTCAGTTCTTAGTTTCTAAGTTTCTTAGTTTCTTAGTTTCTTAGTTTCTTAGTTTTCTTAGTTTCCTTAGTTGCTCTTAGTATTCTTAGTTTCCTTTAGTTTCTAGTTTCTTAGTTTCTTAGTTTTCTGTAGTTCTAGTTTATTAGTTTCTTAGTTTCTTAGTTTCTTAGTTTCTTAGTTTCTTAGTTTCTTAGTTTCTTAGTTTCTTAGTTTCTTAGTTTCTTAGTTTCTTAGTTTCTTCGTTTCTTAGTTTCTTAGTTTTCTTAGTTTCTTAGTTTCTTAGTTTCTTAGTTTCTTAGTTCTTAGTTTCTTAGTTTCTTAGTTCTTAGTTTCTTAGTTTCTTAGTTTCTTAGTTTCTTAGTTTCTTAGTTTCTTAGTTTCTTAGTTTCTTAGTTCTTAGTTTCTTAGTTTCTAGTTTCTTAGTTTCTTAGTTTCTTAGTTTCTTAGTTTCTTAGTTTCTTAGTTTCTTAGTTTCTTAGTTCTTAGTTTCTTAGTTTCTTAGTTTCTTAGTTTCTTAGTTTCTTAGTTTCTTAGTTCTTAGTTTCTTAGTTTCTTAGTTTCTTAGTTTCTTAGTTTCTTAGTTCTTAGTTTCTTAGTTTCTTAGTTTCTTAGTTTCTTAGTTTCTTAGTTTCTAGTTTCTTAGTTTCTTAGTTTCTTAGTTTCTTAGTTTCTTAGTTTCTTAGTTTCTTAGTTTCTTAGTTTCTTAGTTCTTATTTCTTAGTTTCTTAGTTTCTTAGTTTCTTAGTTTCTTAGTTTCTTAGTTCTTAGTTTCTTAGTTTCTTAGTTTCTTAGTTTCTTAGTTTCTTAGTTTCTTAGTTTCTTAGTTTCTTAGTTTCTTAGTTCTTAGTTTCTTAGTTTCTTAGTTTCTTAGTTTCTTCGTTCTAGTTTCTTAGTTTCTTAGTTCTATTCTTAGTTTTATAGGTTCTTTAGTTCTTCGTTTCTTAGTTTCGTAGTTTCTTAGTTTCTTAGTTTCTTAGTCTCTTAGTTTCTTAGTTTCTTAGTTCTTAGTTCTTAGTTTTCTTAGGTTCTTAGTTTCTTTAGTTTTCTTAGTTTCTTAGTTCTAGTTCTTAGTTTCTTAGTTTCTTAGTTTCTTAGTTTCTTAGTTTCTTAGTTCTTAGTTTCTTAGTTTCTTAGTTTCTTAGTTTCTTAGTGTTCTTAGTTTCTTAGTTTCTTAGTTTCTTAGTTTCTTAGTTTCTTAGTTTCTTAGTTTCTTAGTTCTATTCGTTTATTAGTTTATTAGTTTCTTAGTTTCTTAGTTTCTTAGTTTCTTAGTTTCTTAGTTTCTTAGTTTCTTGTTTCTTAGTTTCTTAGTTTCTTAGTTCTTAGTTTCTTAGTTCTTAGTTTCTTAGTTTCTTCGTTTCTTAGTTTCTTAGTTTCTTAGTTTCTTAGTTTCTTAGTTTCTTAGTTTCTTAGTTCTTAGTTTCTTAGTTTCATAGTTCTTAGTTTCTTAGTTTCTTAGTTTCTTAGTTTCTTAGTTTCTTAGTTTCTTAGATTCTTAGTTCTTAGTTCTTAGTTTCTTAGTTTCTTAGTTTCTTAGTTTCTTAGTTTCTTAGTTTCTTAGTTCTTAGTTCTTAGTTTCTTAGTTTCTTAGTTTCTTAGTTTCTTAGTTTCTTAGTTTCTTAGTTTCTTAGTTTCTTAGTTTCTTCGTTTCTTCGTTTCTTCGTTTCTTCGTTTCTTCGTTCTTCGTTCTCGTTTCTTCGTTTCTTCGTTTCTCCTTTCTTCCTTTCTTCCTTTCTTCCTTTCTTCCTTTCTTCCTTTCTTCCTTTCTTCCTTCTCCTTTCTACCTTTCTTCCTTTCTACCTTTCTTCCTTTCTTCCTTTCTTCCTTTCTTCCTTTCTTCCTTTCTTTCTTTATCTCGTAATTTTTATCTTTTCTAGTTTCCTCTCTTTCTTGCATTTTCTCTTCAAATTGTTTTGATGATTAATTATCAACATCCTTTAAACTTGAATATACTCGTACATGCTTTACATGTCTTCGATTTTTGAGATAAGTTTTCAATATGAAATTTCCGGCAGTAAGTATCACTTACTTTCCAAATACCCATTTTTTTTCTAAACCCCAATTTTAAAGAAACCTTATAGCACCGCGTCCATATCAGCGATTCATTCTTTTTATTGATCGGTCATGTTCGGCATGCATCTCATACGGCAGAGAACGAACGAGTATTCAAAAGCGACATCCCGACCGATAAAAAAGTTTTTTGCTCGCCAAAAGATTGGCTGAAACTTCCATGCCTACTGATCGAGCATTCAAGATTGGAACGAGAAAGTAGACTGGATATGCCGGGGATTAGATTTAGATAAAACAGTCTTTTTGGCAGGGGTGGCAAAGTGATACAATTTTTTAACTGGGTGGGAAAAAAGGAATGTCAAAGCAAGCTGATATTGCGAGTAACGTTTATACGTGCCATGTGTATTAATATGGGTTTCTCAAGTCATATTTTTGTTTGAATGTCTTTAGAAGGTTGTTAGAGATGGTCTGTTTGAAAAATCTAATTTCGATACAGGCATGTTTTTGACGTGGAAAATGTACGATGGATACTGGCGTTCCTGCCAACCATAGCCAGTTCAGGACTTGTAACTAGTAATACTGTCTTTTTACCACTAAGCTAAAGAGTAACCTTTACTTTTTACCCCTAGGTAGGTCCATCCAAAGGTATACAATGCACTAAGACTATATAATTTTCGCGAGAAACACTGCCGGGTAAACATATGGGCTTGGATCCATCTACTAGCATGTTTGAATTAGATGTAGAGAGATCGAGAATAAAAGACACCTGAAAGCCTTTTCTTTATCGCTGATTACTCCCCTCTCCATCTTCAAATGGAACAAAATGTTGTGGAATCCTCAGAAGACAGTGAACTATCACGCTCTTAATATGCGCATTACGTTCATTCAGCGTTCCTAGAATTCCCCTGGAAATGAATGTTTCTGTCTCGGAAACACATGAGCTCTCCTCGTTCTAGAATGTATGCTTACGCGTGGATGGAAAACGTGGGGCGATACGGTCTTGAAAAAGATGATTTTTTCGTCGCCTCATATAATCGATGACCTGGAAAAGATAGATAAATACAGGGTTTCCGCAAAGTTGGGGTTTTCCTTTACACGACGTGTAGATCTTGAAAACATAAGCAATTTTTCTTAGTACCATATACAACAATGTCTTAAGGGAACCGAGATAAACGGCTCTGCAACATCAAAAATATCTGAATACCGTCCTGTAGCTGCGACCCGCCGCGATATCCCAGACTGGTACCGGCTACTAGCTGAACCCGACGACAGAACTGGGTCGGGAGTCGGGGTCAGTGTGTCAGGTCAGTATGCAACCTTCAACCGACGGTAAAGAGTCACGCGTATAGAGGTAACGAACCCGTATAATCGATTGCGTTTCAAAAAAAAATAATAGTGGCACACTCATACACCAATAATGAACTCGTTGATATGTTGTTAATTTATGGCGAATGTCTTCAAAATGCTACAGAATCGTCGCGAGTGTATGCGGATCGTTTCCCTAGACGACATCATCCAAGGCCCCGCAGATTTGTGTATCTGGTCCAGAGAGTCGGGGATACGGGCCATTTGGAGGAATTTCGAGGTGGGCACAGTGGGAGGCCTAGACAACCACGAATGGTGCAAGTTGAGGAAGAACTACTGAATCGCGTAGACGAAAATCCCTC